TCCCTATTTACTTTCAAAAATAAATATTAATGTGCCAGATAAAAACTACCGCCATTCCAAGTTTTTCAGGATTCCCTTTTGTAGAACGAATTTAGGAGTCAACTCACCTATAATTAGGGCCCAGAGGGTGTTTAACGATACCTCTATAAATTTGGACATTTTTGTGGTTAATTTTAACAAGTTTAAAGCAACGGTAAGGAGGCAGCTTACATAGGATAGTATCATACTATCTAATTGTTTGTTTGCTGTGATACTGTTGTCAACCATTAATACTTTTATGTACTTTTATATGGTATTTTATATGTTTTGTTATCAAAGCTGTCTAGTAACGTGCTCTGTGTTTGTGGTTTTTGGTGACTAGTGCGATTGATGGAATAGTGTAACTGATACATGCTAATTTTTAAAAAAATTAAATTTTCAATTTATATCGTTTTATAGTAGTTGCTGTATCATAGTATTATTTATTCTCATATAGTAGGCTTGTGTTACAGATTTTCATATCTTCTGGATTTTGTAATCTATGTATCTGTTTAGTTTATCACTATAGTAAGCAGCGGGTGCTGTATTTGGAATTCACATTCTGTTGCACCCCAAACATGAGTAAATAAATAAATAAATAAACACAACTATCATCTATGCAGGAGATACAGTCTACCTAAGAATCTATTTCGACAGACCGATCTTTATCAGTTTTTCTCTAGATCTGGACTCCAGGAACTCAACAGTGGTTGTTCAAAGATCAATACTAAATGTAGTTGAAATAAAGAAAGCTCATTCTAACAACAATTATTACGTCTACATTTTGTACATAACATTTTTCTGTAATTTTTCTGTTGCGTTATATAATATTAAAACTGCCTGAAGTGGTAGAACTTATACCACAAGAATATCAATTTTCAAGTCGGCTATCACTGAATACGCCAAGATATTTTATATTTTATTTTTGCTAAATACTTGATTTTTGATTATCAATTTGACTGAAGTTAAGTGACTGGTAATTTGGTAAATTATTGGAAGGTAAGGCAAAAGGAACATAGTAAGTTTTGGTGTAGTTAATTGTTAATAAGCGGTCATCAAACCATTTTATTGTTTTAACAAAGCATTATAGAGTAATAGCTTGTTGTCCAATGTCAGCTTAGATTGCCTACAAATAATTCAATACATCTCTTTGGTTTGATGCCCATTTCTTTTCTGTTGAGAAAACGTTCATTTGCCATGTAAACCTTCTGTCTAAATGGATTCCGAGATACTTCCATTGATTTGATTGTGGAATTTGTCAGTTATAGCTGGTTACTGGTGGACAGGTACATACTGCGGACAGAACATGCAGGAAATAAAATCCCGAAATGCCCTTCAACATTTAAACTTCAGTTTCTCTTTTCTGTTTCCACACATATCCGTAGCAGTCAGCTGAATGTAACCAGAGCGAGCATTTTTATGCCCAACTTAACCTGAACATGATGGACGCTCGCGCTATTTGAATCGGCCATACGATAAATTGCCCTCTATTGCCTCTTTTAGTCCATTGCTTCCATCTTTGTACAGAGATAGCAGGGTAACTTGAGGTTTACCTCGAGGGTCAACATACTGGTTTATTTTGGAAGATGGTAAATGGACAACTCGGCATTATTAGATATACGAGAAAGTTCGTCTCTATATCTGGATAGACGCATTCCTTTTTCAGTACATTTAGACTTCAGTGACCAAAATTAGACCAAAGAGAAGTGGAATGTGATATATAAAATGCAACACCCAGAATTATTTATTGAATTTTGATACAAATTTGTAAACATATTTGCTATCATAAATGTTGGAAGTATTCCGAACCGTATTTTCTTTTTTGTCATATCGGGATCAATACGAACATATTTACTTAATATTCAGCGATGTTTCTGTGTTGGTTCCATTTTTTTCATTCTTGTTTCATTGCATTATCATACCTAGAGTTGCAGACGCGGAGCGAAATTTACACTATATGTAGATGACACATCTCTAATGCTGTCTGATGCCTGTGATATGAATCTTATGTGTGATAATTGTGATAGTTTGTGGAAGGTTTTTATGGGTCGTTCTCGAAAAACCGTTTATATCTAAATCCTGGCTTTAAGGTTCCACATTGCACAAAAATATTCAATCCCTTGAATCTCAAAAGGGACACACAAGGACAAATAAATTGTTAGGGATTCTTTGATGAGGATCTTAGCTTCAGAATGCACTGTGATTTTGTAATAAAAAATTCACGGACATCCGTTATGAAACATTTGAGAACGGTCCTAACAGAGTAGCAATTAACGACAGAATATTATGCTCAAGTGGAATCTCGTTTGAGATACGGCTTGGCTTCTGGGGCTGCTCTTCATATGCCACGCATGTCTTTATGTGTCAAAATGAGCTTTTAGATGTATGTAGGAGTTTGTTCAAAAAATATTCATCTCGCCCTCTCATCATTTAATTTCGAGATGGCCAAATACACCTTCTCGGAGATAGTTTTGCAAGAAAGTCGCCAAACGTGATGGGAGCTAGAATTTATAGTAAACTTTCCCCTGAAATTAAGTGAGTTGGTCTATCAACTGCTTTAAGAAACGGTTGAAGGACTATTTACTTGATAAAAGTCATTGCGCCATCAGTAACTTCATTAGCTTGTAAATATTAATAATAATAACAACAATTATTATTATTATTAATTATTATTATTATTACTATTTTTTGACTATAGGATAGAAACTGGTCAAACATTATATATTTTGATGCTCAACAGCAAACTAGCAGAGATTGCAGTCTAGCATCAAAATTCGTAAGAATTGACTAGTTTTTAACAAATATCAGTGAGTGATGCAACCAAAATTTTGCGGTCGGTTCTGGAACTATTCTATCTTTTTGATTTGCAAAAGCAATAAACCTTTAATTTGATATAATTAATAACAGTTTTTCTAATACGAAACTCGCTAAAACCATCTATGCATCATAGTACAATATGTGCTAACTGCAAAGGAAGTTAGCAGAAATATTAGCTATCTGCACTAATTCTGTCAATTAGAGCTTCATTTAGATAAAAACGCATTAAGTATGTAGGCCGGTAGTATAAAATTGAGGTTTTTTTCGTCCTCTGTAAAATTACGGTTCCTGCATATAGCAGGTATTGTCAGATGTCCGACGACCGATATTTTCAAAATCGTTTTCATTTTTGACTGACTTCACGTATTTGAGGTGCGATACCTAAATTATGTAATAACATTGCTATATTTTTTCCTAGAGAACATTGCATAATTAGAATTTCAATCGATTTCTTCGGGCTCTACTGTTTCAGAACTATCAGGAGCATGCGCAGAAGAGACTGACGTATTCGGGTTTCTGCTGGATTACTATCGGACCATTTTAGAACTGAAATTTGGTGTTCGAGTTATATCCTGGTTCAGTTCTAAGATGGTTCGAGAATCGTACAAGCGGTTCTTGCTTTACTGCCGGGACCATTTTTGAACTGGTTTTTCACGCATGCTTATTCCTTCTGCCAATGTAATTTACGTTTTCTGCGGTTTGAGGAGTGATTTTTATTTAAAATTAAAAGAAAAGTTGACAAAAGGATTTAATGCAGATAATTCTTGATTCTGATTCGTCATCGTCGTCTGACAGTGATGATGCACTTGAAGTAGTTACTCCCAACTTATTTTTGCCAGAGCTTCTTAGATGTGAGAAAAAATAATAACTTCCTTGAGGAAACTGTTCCTTCCTATACTGACAAACAGTTTGTTGAGCATTTTAGGTAAGATATTTTTTATCCATTAAATCAACTTCCTAAAGGCCTAGGGCCACGTGTGGCACTAAACAAAATAATAATTGTTGCCGTAGGCCTGGGTTCAGACTGTTCGGGTTTTGGAAAAATTCTGATAGTTCATGGACTGTTCATAACCGCTACAGAGATCTTCCACTTTACGCACTTAGTCTTGCCCAGTTCCAGAAGCGGTCGGTGAAAGTACTGAATTTAGAACTCGAAAATAGCTAATGTGATATTTCGTTTCTTATCCTGAATGATACCTTTATTTTCGCCGATGGATGCCATAATGGATTTATGCATAGGTGAATATGGTTTTTGATTGTGATTTCAAAAATATCTCAATATAGTAAGTACTTGTCATGCATCCCTCTCACAGTGACCAAATCTACAGTCAAACGCAACACATTTTTTTGGTTGCTTTTCATACAACCCTATTTCTATTTCCCGTTTCCATGTGAGCGTTAAAACCCTAACATCTCGTTTATCCCGGGCAATGGTTGATGCTGAACAGATCCCGAGTCTGGCATCCGACAGCGGAATTCCGGTCGACCATCCTTTCTCATGTAAATTAGAGCGTCGGTGCACCGCTGAAAAATTGAATATCTTTGTGGACATGATTCTGCGGCAGCGCGTTAACGTACGCGGTGCGGTCCGAATGATCCGATCCGTATGTGTTTCCCTTATGCTGACGTTCTTTTCCATAACAGCATATCTTGAACAATGCAGCAAGGCTACCCTCGGCGATAAAAGGGGTGCATGCGTTAGTTTTATCACAGAAGCTACACTCAAGCAAATTCCCCTGTCAATTTACATACGCATAAGCGGTAAATCGATGCATACTCCGTACAAGTTCGGATCCATCGCTTCTTTCCACCAATAAATTTCTGGTAGTCCCGTACGGTCATATATAGCAGACCAGATCAGAGAAGCCCATAGCAAAGCAACATACTATCATTAATTTGTATGAATGACTATATATAGACTCTGATAGTTAGAAATTGCGTGAAATACGGGAATAAAAGGATCCACCCGCAACAAGCGGGGGTAAGGTAATTTCTATACTTGAATCCATTTCAAGTGAGACCAGACACAACAACCAGCACGCGTCGCTGGCAAGAACCGAGCAGGGTCGGACTCAAAACTATGGAAATATTAAGGTGATATTTCAGAACTAAATATTTGAAAAAGAGACATCAGTAAATAATAACACAACACTACTGTCACAGAGTCAATAGAGGTGATTGAAAGTTAAGGGGGCACAAAAAGTAATTATACATATGTGTTTGACAACATCAATATTTTTTACTAGAAGAGCTGTCATCATAGATGTTGAAATTAGCGGTTCAATATACCTTTCAATTATGTTGTCTAGCTCCCACATTGCAACCTCCACTTTCTCCTGAACATGCTTCACACATTTTAACCATTTTTCTGGTGTGACTCTCTGCAACGCAAGATTGAACAGCTCTTTCATGTCGGAAAGCTTGAATGTTGTGTTGTGTTCAGCAACAAAATTCTTTATATCTGCCCATATGAGCTCAATGGGGTTGAGCTCACAGTGGTAAGGAGGCAAACGAAGTACCATTTTATTGTGCGCTTTTGCCATCTCGTCCACTATATATTTATCATATTTTGCTCTGTGTTGTTTCACAAGGTCTTGAAGTTGTAATTTCAACATAAACGTATCAAAAGGCATATTTTTTGCACGTAGCCAGTCCTGTATCTCTGATTTCTTAAAAGATGAATTTGAAATTTTTTCTAATTTCCGAGAATGATACGGAGCATTATCCAGGACCACCACAGAATTGTCTTTAAGACGTGGTAAAATGCCTAAAAACCAGTTTTCGAATGCTTCACCATTCATCTCTTCGTGGTAGTCAGTGGTTTTTTTTATTCAAAACACCATAGCCCTTCCTTCACGAAGCCATCTACACTCCCGATGTGGCAAATAATGAGCCTTTTTCCTTTGCCTATAAAGATAAAACTTGTTAAATACGGATGTACATTATATGTCTTTCACAAGAGTACTGAGGCCACGGAGATAGGGACACATTTCTGTATTTTATATACGATGCTATATTGTTTCTCATGATAGCGGGACGCATGCGGTGAGATATATCGGACAATGCAACCAATGCATCATTTAATCTGTTGATGAATCTGGTTAGCTTAAAAAACAAAAAGAAACAGGCAACATCAATTAAACTAAAAAATTATCAAGTGTGACGAACTTATCGAAAAATTTACAAATCAACGCAATGTCTGACGTTGTTAATTAACGTGTTACATTCCGTGACGGACGAGGTATGTTGTCTCTGCAACGCTCGCATTGCTGTAAAAAATCTTGTCATCGATACTATAAGAATTCCAACGTAGAATACATTGATTTCCAGAGTGAACATCCCCTCGTTTTTTCTAGATATCTGATAACGTGTAATGCCTCATTTAAATCACTTTGGCTATGAAAAATTATCTAATAACTATTGTTGGATTTTCTAAAATGGAATGTCTGCATTACCTGTAGGGTTTTTAAGCCCAGTTGAAAGCCCATCTAGAAACGCTCTTCTTGCTGACGTTACTGTTTGGTCCACCCAAACTTTTGATTTTGTATGGCCAGCATTTATCCACGTCTCGTCCAGGAAGTAAATTCTACGATTTTGGCTCCTGTATGTTTTTATTTTTGTCAAATACTCTCTCCTCCATAGTATAATTTCATCTCTATCCATCAATGAACTGTTTCGGCCTCTCTTCTGCCAATTGAAGTTGAGTTCCTTTAATAGCCTGTAGAACGTCGTTTTACTAAAATTCGGCAAATCTGAGTCTTCATTCACTACTTTCAAAATCTTATCAATTGTAGGAATTTCATTCTGGAAAAAGAATTCATGAGCCTTCCTTCTGATCGCATGTCTGTCAGCATCATCTATTTCTTTAATTTGGCTTTTACGGTTCTGATTCGATTTAGGTTCAGCAAATTCATTCCGTAATTTATATTCTTTGAGTACTCTAAATACCGATGCACGAGAAACTCCAACTTTATTCGCCACCCTCTGCACAACATCGTTGACGCTGAGCTCAGGTTTTTCCTCCGTTTCATATTTGTAAACATTTAAAATAATTTCTTTCACTTCGATGCTCAAATGGTTTTGTCTTGATCGTTTCCTGGGTGGACTCAATGTAGTTCTCCCTTCATCAGCTGTGTCGGTAGAAGACATGGTCAAAAAACACCAGATATAACAGAACTTATAACAGCGATGCACTCGACGCCACGCCACGGCCTGATTACTACTCTGGTTTTTGTAGACATCAACGCGGCGCAACGGCGGGTTTTGTATTGCTACAGTCTAACTAGGTCTTAAAAAATGTTCGAAACTGCATGTTTTCCAAATTCATGGAGTTTTATATTGGAGCCACTTCAGGACATTGTATTTAACAAAAGCATCAATATGAGGGGCGGAAAGTTTAAAAAAAGAAAAATAAAAGCTACGAAATGAAACTATTAGTTGAAAAAGCAAGCGCTTCAAACTACAACTTCAAACCGTAAAATGCCTGAACTATAATGAGACCCTCTGCGGGAACATCGATCACGCGCTGATCACGCTTCGAGTTTGCGATGTTGTGGTCTCACTTGGGCTGAATTTTAGTATAGATTACATGAGGCATGATACATGTGTCACCAGTGACACCACCCTGTAAGCGGCAATCTCCTAAACAACATTTGCTGATGAGGGAAGGCAGTCCCCCTTGGGGGGGGTCAACAATGACATTCTTCCCTGCCAGAAGACCAGCTGAACTCTACAGTGTAACTAGCGTAAGTATATTTTTTGTATGTTTATATTAATAGAGTTTCTTTGTGAGTACTTGCGACTATACGTTCTTTTAACTGCACCTTACAGCGCCAAGTTACTAACCTCCAAGTCACAATCGTGACACATCCACAAGACCTTATGATGCATATTGAGATGCGCTCACTATGTAATCCTATCGTCATTCTGCCTGAATTGTGTCAATTTTAAGTATGGACATTTTCACAAAAACTCTCCGTGCGATATTTCAATAGAGTGATGCTTATTTGGGCATAGTTTCAGGCCTTACTATGTCCACGGAAGATTAAAATGGTTTTTAGTCTATCTGCTTATAGCCACAGAATTCTGCGAAACGACGGAATTATATCAAAAATGTATAAAAAAAGTAGAACCAAGTATTTTGCCCGAGTATTCTCCACACACTAGTATCTATACTTATATGTACTCTCTCTTCCCATAATTGACTTGTCTACACTCGAATTGATTAAATGCGGCTCAGAGATAGTTTAGCTACACAGAAATTCTAACCTTTATTTTTACTGTGGCCCGAAATAATCAGTCAATTAATAAATGTTCACTTTTTTCAGGTGTTGACCTCCATGAAGTTTTGTACTACGAGGGATGTCTTTTAAGTTTTGCATATAGAAACATAGTAGGCCGCGCGGATCGAAGGTCAGTACTGAATCTGAACCTCACTCTTTAGTAAACTTAAATTCAAAGTTTCACAACAATACGTGCAGTGTTCTCACTACAGTGAATTTTTAAGTGTCACCAAGTCATTAGAAAAATGGAACTCAACCGAGAACATTTCCGCGCCATAATTTATTACAACTTTCAGAGACAATTATCGCAACGTGTTTTCCGCAACGAAGCGCCACATCAATCGACAGTTTCCCGTTGGTATGGAGAATTCAAACGTGGACGGGTGAGTCTTAGCGACGATCCCAGGGTGGGTGCACCAAAAACGGCAGTCACCCAGCAAAACGTCGATGCTTTGCGCAAACTCATCATTGAAGATAGACATGTGACATATCGCGAGATTGAGGCGTCCTTGAAGATCTCAAAGACCTCAATTCAAAAAAATTTACATGAAGAATTAGGAGTAAGAACATTAGTTTCTCGTTGGATACCCCACCTGTTGACTGAAGAGCAGAAAGCAGCCAGGGTAAATTGGTGTCAAAAAACGCTTGACCGTTTCAATTCCGGAAACTCAAAAAATGTGTACAGCATTGTTAGTGGTGACGAATCGTGGATTTACTGTTATGAACCAGAAAATAAACGACAGTCGGATGTTTTGGTGTTCCAAGGTGAAGAAAAGCCAACAAAAGTCATCCGTTCTCGAAGTGTTTCGAAAAAAATGGTCGCGACATTTCTGTCAAAAGAGGGTCATATTGCAACAATTCCTCTTAATGAGCAAAGAACTTCAAAAAATCAACACCGAAAGACGAATCATCCTCCACCAAAAAACAAGGCAGTATTTAATGGAAGAAAACGTGGAATTATTGGACCATCCTCCATATAGTCCCGATCTAAGTCCTAACGATTTCTTTGCTTTCCCGAAAATTAAAAACAGATTATGTGGTCAAAGGTTTCAGTCATCAGAAGAAGCAGTTGACGCATTTAAAAATGCCGTTTTGGATCTGCCAGCAAACGAGTGGAATAAGTGCTTCGAAAATTGGTTCGAGCGCATGCAGATGTGTATTAATCTTCGTGGAGAATACTTCGAAAAACAATAAAGTCATTTAAAACCACCTACCGTGTTGTTTTATTTCCATATGCAAAACTTAAAAGACATCCCTCGTACGGCAAACAATAATCAGCAACTTCGAAAGCAACAAAATATTAAGCTTGTTGACGTTCTCAAATTTACACATTTTGCTTGTTCGTGCGGCATTATTGGTGAAAGCATTTAGGTTGTTCTGTCATTGACATAGCAGCACCTTTCTATTATTGGCATAGCAGTACCTTTCTATCATTGTGGTATCTTTATGAAGGCAAGCAATGTGTTCCTTTCAATGGCTTCACGTCGCATCACTATGTAACTAAATCGGGAGTGCCTCAGGGTTCAAACCTTGGTCCTGTATTATTTAGTTATTCATTGATGATGTTGCGCAATATGTGACTTGTAAAAAACTCCTCTTTGCGGAGGATTTAAAATTATTCAGTATCATTGATTCTGCGACTGATTGTATTACACTTCAGCGGAATATCGATGTTTTAGAAGATTTGTGTGACGAGAATAATTTATTTCTTAATGCGTCTAACTTCAGTGTAGTCAGCTTTTCCAGGAAAACATTTGTTTGTAAATTTAGTTATGTTTACATAAATCGTTGTGACTCAATTAAGGATTTGGGTGTAGTTCTTGTCCATTAATTTTTCGCTCCATATCGCTCATGAGGTGAGTGAAGCTTCACGAGCTTACCGTTTTATTGTAAGAAACTGCAGAAGCTTTAGCCGCCCAGAGTCACTGTTGCTGTTATATTCTGCATATATTAGATCGAAATTGGAATATGCTGCATTGATTCTATTGAGCATGTTTCTCAAATTTTTTTCTTTCAAGGTTGACCGTACCTACCCTGAGCAGGGTATATCTGAAAGTGTCTTATTGCCTGGGTTTCAAACACAGCTTTTAGAGTTAAGAAGGAATTGTTCGTCAATTTGCTTGCATAAAGTGCTCAATAAATTTGATGCTAATGAGATTGTAACTCAACTAAAATTTAATGTCCCGTCTACTCAAACTCGTACTGTTAAAATCTTTTATCGTAACACAGCTCGCACAAATTTATTTTTGAAAGTACAGATTATGTAATGTGTGAAAGTTTTAATACCATATCTAATTATTGTTATATCATGCTGATAGGTTGAACAGCATTCTGGGAGTAGCTAGGAATTATCTAAATAATTTATGATATGTTTCGCACTTGTGTGAAATATGTTTCATACTTCTTTTTCTTGATTGTTATTTCCTTTAGATAGAATCACCTGCTTTTTGTATGACATACTTTTGTTAGTTTGCTTCATATTTTTTAGGATTGTCGTGTAAATTGTTTCCTCAACTGTTGGGCATTAAACGCTACTTATTCATTGATATAAATGTTGTTGTAAGATTTTATTTTTTTATAAAAGCGGTCTCCATTTTCTTTTTTCAGCAAAGCTGTTTTGGCCTATTCAAAATTATTTAACACCATTATAAGGAACACGTAAAACGCATGGTCATACACTTACTTTATCACTATAACTACCGATTCATACGTACGCAGTCAGCCAAGGGACACTACTGCATGTGGCAGCATATCGCGGCTAATACCGAGCTTTCAAGGTCAAATAGACTCGCTTAAGCGGCGCTGCTGTGTTGTATTAGATACACCGAGATTTCCATCACATCGCTAGCGGAGGTACTGTTTGTGCTGTGATAAAACGATGGTGGAAATAGTTTCGTTTTGAAACGCCATCGCCAGTTGGAAAAACAGTGATTCCATTTGCGCAATTTCATTGCTTCCAGGGCTGCATCTTCCATACACGGCGGGTTTCGTTAATTTTGCTGTGTTCCCGAGAATGTAGGTCGAATTCTTGCTTTATGCAGTAAGTTCTGTGAGCGGAAACATTGTTGTTAGTCTCGTCAAACCTACACGTCCTTGTTTTTAACATTTATCTTCTCCTATATTCTAACTGCATAGGTAAAACCTAAATATAAAAGTACTTCGATTGTTATGGAGTCAAGAAGATTTTGTAGCTATGGATTCAGAGCTAGTAGGATCATTTTTCATTCAGAAGCAGCCGCCTAGGCTGACACCTAAATTCCAGAGGGCTTCGCGATTTGTATAAGAAACTTGAACATGCATTTTGCTAATTTAATCCGATCTTTGAACTGCCTAAGGTTAGCTGACTTGAGACCCAGTGTTGCACAATCTTGATACCCTAGAAACAAGGAAGCGGTCGTATCGGCCACTTCTGGATGTACGAAGTTCGACAGAGCGGGGATGGTATGGAGTAGTTTAGGACGTGAGGTGCTTATCTCAAGCTACGATCTGACTAAGTTTGGTTCCTGAAACAAATTACGTTTATATAAAGCTCTACCAGCCAATAGAAAGCAGATATTTGTTTTCTTACTTCTGTTAAATAGAATAGAGGACGAACTTAGGCATTAAAACCCATATTCTTACATTGCTTCATTATGGTAAGCCCATAACTAGTATAGGATAGACAGCTAGGACATGCAGGCTGAGTTTTTAGCGTCCGTTATTATAAAATATATCTAAATAAGTTATTTGCAAAAATTATAGGCTACCTATGTAGCTATACGTTCCTCACTCGTAAAATATACCACTCTCTAAAAGGTACAAATGGAATACTTTGTATATTTTAGTATATTCTGGAAGACCACTTCAAATTAAGAAAATTGATATATACAACTATACTATATATCCCTGGACTGCGACTTTTGAGGCTACCGGACTTCTTATCCGAAATGGCACTTAACTTTGATAGCTTGAAAGTCAGTTACCTCTACAGCTGGAGCTGCAAGCTTTTCGTTAAAATGAGCCTCATGGCTTCTCATAATCTAAGCGATTTTTTAAATTTTATGCATCTATAAAAGGGTGTTTGTTACGCCAAATGTACATTTTTCCAAAACATTGAGGTGGAACATCTTATATCTTTTTTCGGCTCTGAGTTTTATCACCAGATTATCCGCGGAAAAGAAGGATGCTTGTTGGTGATTTCAATGATTTGTAGCCATTGACTGAAAATTGTTTCTTCGAGTTGTAATACCTGGGAGACTGTAAATAACTAAACAACAAAAAAGTGGTAATCCCACATAAATTTTATACCAAAATGAAGATTGCTCTAAGGTTAGCCCAAGGTCCTAACAATATTCAGGGTTTTATGTAGAAAGGACGTACATAAATTAAAAAATGTTGAAATAATTAGTATTTATAGGATATGAAGCTTCTTTCGACAAAAAGCTTCCGGTTGAGTGTTTTTCAAGAAAAAATATCCTGTAGTTCCAGATGTAATAATCCAAACTCGATAATATGCTATATCAAACGTCTTTCTATTGGCAAGCCTTTCAGGAATATATTAAAATATAGGGGTGTTTCATTTAAGAAAATGTATGTATTGCCACGCACTTATGCATCACCAGGGCAGCATATTTTATAAGTGAGGAGCGTATATGTGTATATAATTTCTTTAAATAACTTTGTTGGATACTTTTCATAATAACGGAATTGTGGAGCGATTACACACTGAAAACTTACCATATATATTATGCGGAATAGTCTAATCATGTTAGCAAATTTCCTCGAAATTGTAAAGTCTGGTTTCAATCACGCAACTTGATTAAGGGGGTATTAATAACATGTACGCAGGATGCACAAAATGGGTACACCAATTTTTGTGGAAATACTTTTCATTCGACAACAAAGAATGAGAAAACGCGTTTTTTGGGATTCAATCGAAAGTGTTAGCAGGAACGAAAAAACCCTTTAAATAAGATTTTTAGGCATTTAGGAGACCTACAGAAAGAGGCTACATGTAAAAAGATCCTACTAATAGTAAAAAAATTATGGCCGAAAACCGAGACAAAATGCAGGTTTTGGCACTGAGTTTTTTCGTTCCTGCCAACACTTTCGATTGAATCCCAAAAAACGCACTTTCTCATTCTTTATTATCGAATAAAAAGTTTTCCCACAAAAATTGGTGTACCCATTTTATGCGCCCATGTTATAAATACCCCCTTGAACAACTTGCATCAGTAAAACCATACTTTACAATTATTTCACACACCAGGGGTATTTTCGCCTAATATGATTAGACTAGAAAGTAAAAAGTACTTGTCCACGTATGCTTGGGCAGCATTGACCCATTCTAGTGTCATCTGCTGAATTTTTATCATTATTGATTTAGCGATACAAAATAATCAATCAAATTTGCGCTAATTCATAATTGGACAATTTCGCGGTGTACCCGTTAAAATTGTTTGTTTCACGGGCTTATTTCCTTCACACCTGGCACGCAATTTTTAGAACGGCAAAGAGTATAATTGAAAGTAAACATCGTAGATTATTGTGGAAACAGGGATGTTCCGATACAAGCAACGGCACTATACAGGTATATCGATCTGTATGCGGGGTGTAAAAAATTTACATTAAAACTCTAAGGCCGACAAAACGATTTTTGCAGAATTCATGTTTACCTCATCTGAAATTCATATCTTGATCTTTGGTTCGTTCGTTACTTGAGTATTGCTGCTCCATCTCGTTTCCAAGTTATAAGCCACATATCAACCAATTAGAGCGTGTGCAGGAACATTTTTTGACAACCAATGGATGTAAAATAGGTGTCATTAGGGAGGAGTATAGTTATGCTGATATTTTTCTCTCAGAATATTACATATCTTGAAGGCTGTAGGTTGGAATTTCACATTTCTTGAACAAATCCACCAATGGTCACATTGATTGTCCTCAACCGTTAGAAAAAATGAGAACAACAGGAAAACGCGACATACTGATAAACTCTATGTCCTATTTCATCATATGGGTTGAGTGAATCTCTAACTCATCTTCTTAGCTTAGGTAATACCCAGTTTAGGAGTATTGATTAAATAAATAAATCAATGGGTGTATTTAACCCTCACCCATTCTTTACAAGCTTCCATTCAATTTGATTTCTCAAAAACGACGTTCGCGTGATTTTTATCTTTTCCGTTTATGCTCTGTTTCCCCTCCACCACTCGTCCAATTTTAAAAAACTACAAAGTTATTTTGTCCT